CCCCCGCCATGGCTGCCAACCCCACGCGACCCGAGCTAATTTAGGGCCGTAGGGTACGAGGCGACGAGTGCGTAGGTACGATCCTCATACCTATCCGTTGCTCTCGTGAGCTCTAACTAGAAATACTTAGCCCTGCTTTGGTCAGCTAGCTAATGAGGGACACGTGATGCCCGGTTATCGGCGACGCCCACGGGCGGTCAGCCTCAATTCACAGCTGACGGTGTCCTCTGTTTTGCGTTTAATAACCTGGAGGACCCGTCTTATTATCTAAATGTAGGGCAAAACCCTTATGTAGGTGTTTCACCCTGGATGTTTTGGTTGGATGCTCTCTGCATTCTAGCGAAACACAGACCAAATCCTCGTCACCGACTGTAACGCACCGCCGAAATCGCACCAACTGTGCTAGTTGCGTGGCCGCTCCTTAGAATTAAGCGTCATCTTACGGCTGTTGGCACTACCTAGTTATCATTAGTGCGTTGATTGGCTCTCTAGAGCCTCCCACATCGACTAAGGCGGCGAGAATAAGGTCACGATAATATTGCGTTGCAGTTTTAGTAATACCCATTGTCGCACTCGCCCTAGCGTTGGTCTCGCCTGAGGCTGAAAGTCAGAAATGACGTCTTGCCTTCGTCTCGTTATGAGAAGTCGTACCTATATGAGGGGAAGCTCCGCCTAGTAGCTAGCCCAAGATCAACACGAGATAGAGCGCCTAGCCATTCAGGATCTTGACCTGGTGATAGATGTTGAGAAGTCAGGAGGCTTGCCGAGCGATAGGCGCACAGGCATTATGCCAAACTTGCAAATCATATCTCCAAAGAGTGGCCTGGAACTCATATGTGCGCATATCTACGTGCATGGTTGTGTCCTGCGCTGACGAATAGGGACAAGTAAAATCGGAAGAGGTTGGGTTGCACAATATGCAAAGCTACCGAAGAGTGAAAAGCAGCACTTATCCAAACAGCCAAGAAACCTGGTCGGAAAAAATTCCTGTCTCGAATGAAACTCCAACGTCAGTGGAGTGTGTACTACGTCCTCGTATGTCACTGGAGAAAAATTTTATTCAACTCCTTAGAGGCACCAAGCGCAAAGAAGGTCTCCAAGGAGAAGCTCCTAAACGATACATTAGGTAACTTCATCTAGTAACTAGTGAAGAATGCGGGGAAGAACCTGTTCCTATCGACGATGGTGTGTGTACTGTAAGGTCCCTGAATTCATCGTACATTCGTGTCCCCCACCATTCCACTCAGATAGCCGAATACATTCGCGCAAGAATCCGGGGTCGAGAGATGTGCAATGCAGGGCCAGAATCGAGGCCGGTGATCGTCGGTATCTAAGACGCACTCTGCGTTTCTTTTAGGTCATCTTTGGTCACCATCGTGATTATTGATGAAGTCGCGAGAATATGGCGGGCTGAAACAACACAACTCATGAAATATCATGACGCACGACTCTAAGTGCTTGGAGAGGGGGACATTGGTATGCATGCGGTAGCTGTGGAGGCGGTTAACGCGCTGCATCTCTATGTTCTCTGGATGTGCATATTAAGTACTCCAATATAGATCTTCACTAATGGGCTAGGGCTAGGGCTAACGTTCGGAATACCTTGTCGGTCTGGAAAGTAATTGAAAATCATCGCAAATACTTATGTACGTACATTTTTTAGACTCGAAAAACCTCATGCAACAGAACACCATCCCCTGCGCCATTGGATGCCAGACCAGAAAGAGCCACATAGATGCGTACAAGAAATGATTAATGACCCCACCCCCAAGACTAGAGCCCAACCCCCAAATTTTTGCCAACTCGTAAACTCATTACAACAGCTATCGGATCGTGGAGCTAGATAGGCGCCAGATAGGGGTATGCTATATCCACTTCTCCGATGGTTGGGTCGGGAGGTCTGGCGGGCTCTGCGGAGCCGTGGGCGGCCGGGAGTTGTCCGTCCTCGCGTTGTAGCGGAGGATCTTGTCGTTGTTCTTGACGATGCCGCTGAACGACATGTTCTTCTCCTCGCTCTCGCGCGGGGTCTGGCTCTGGAGCTGCGTCTGCGTCTGCGACTTGAGCCGCGTCATGCGCGTGGCCGCCGTGCCCAGCACCCTCCGCCCCGTGTTGCCGATGATCTCGTCGCGGTCAACGCGGAAGAGCCGGGGGAACCACGCCCGGAGCAGCGGTCTCAGTGCCGGCGCCGAGGCCGTGATGAGGGCGAGGTTCGTCTCGATGGCGGAGGTCACGAAGCCGATGTTGGCGTCGGCGCTCATGCTTGTTTTCAGCATGAATAGGCCTTGGATGAGAAGGACAAGGCGGATGATACTTGTGATAGTCGTGCTAATTTTAAGCAGAGTCAGACCTCTATTCATTCTTTCTGCAAAATAATACCGTGATAGTGGAAACTTACAGGAATCCGAGCAGGAAAATCAACATTAGAGCGATTTTTGTACGCCTGGGTATCTTCAAATCGATGAATATCCTTAGCGGCAGCGCTATTATGAGTATATCGGTGGCGATGTTGAACGAAGATAAGACCGTGAACAAGATCCTCCTGTCAATGCATGTGCCCGCCAGCTCAGGCTGCCAAGTCTTGTTGATCGGTATGCACTGAAGCACGGTGGCGAGGAAGACTGCAATCATCATTCCCAGGTTGGCCATGTTGATCCAGATAATAAATCGCTTCACGCCAGGCTTTTGCCCAAATAACCGCAGTAACAAGAGTAGTATCGATGTCTTGACTAGCGCCAGAATCGGATTGTACAAGATTTCAATGGCGTAGTTCCATATTAGGCCGGGTACAGGGTCGTGAGGCGGGATATCTTGCCATCTAATCCCTATGAAATTCGTCTTGATAACTTGGGGTATGTCAGCGTACATGATCAAAGACGCATTACCGTATGATTCAAGACATACACATATAACTAGCTGCTGTTTCCAGCATTGATAATACCTATAGGTCACACCTCGTTAGTTCGTCCGCCTCGTAGGTCCTTTCAAATCGTCGGCCGCTTACCATAGCTATGCATACTAACGCATCATCTATTCTATCCGTTAGCTGGGGATTTAGAAGTTGGATGTCATAAGTTGCTCACCAAGCCCAAACTGATGCGATGATAGCCTACCAGCTACTCTCGTACAGAGTACAACGAATGCAAGGGCTGTGAAGCCTATGATGATACCGATCGCGAGGCTCTGCTGAGGGCTTGTGAAGCGGAATGGATCAGATGACACAGCCACTTCGGTGATGTTTTCGAGAACAAGAAGCATGTCATCCTTTGGTAATAGAGACATGGCGATAGATTGTGCCGCGGAGGCAGCGTGTAAGCGTACTGGCTAAACGAGCGGACGGAAGAGACAGAAAGAAGCAACAATTAATCTTCACGCCCGCGCAAACTCATAATGAGAGGGCTAAGTGTTCAGATATAGTAGTAGTATAATGTGCTGAAGGCGAAAAACAAGATTACAGGCCGTCGCCCGCCTGAAAATGATCTACACCCGGCGTTGGACGAGGTGAGTTATACGGACGGCATCAGAAGGGTAACCGGATAAATCAGCCTTGTGTATCAGATGCGATCGCATATGATCGCCATACGGCCGGACTTGGGGCGACAATCACAAATACTCCAGTGTGCCAGTTGATCCGAGGGCTTGCGCTCTTCATATTTATTCCACTTGGGCTATCGTTACTGATGTAGGTGGTAGAGTTCATTCATCACCCAGCACAGGTCACGGATAGGTACAGTTGTGACAGTTGACGGCGGGAGCACAAATTATGATAGATTTATCAAAACAAGCAAGGAAGCAAGCAAAGAGAGTTATTTTCCAGTGTCAAGCATGCAGATAGCCGTGCTCTGTGCCACCCTCCATCCTCCACGTCGGTGACGTCCAATCTGGCCTAGTCGTTCCCTCACCTTGGACTCCGGACATCAGATGGTCCATCCATCGAACCTGAAATCGCCACGATCCGGATGGTGGTGAGGGTGCGGGTGCGCCCGAAGAGTGGCTCGATCGATGATGGGACGAAAGAGAACCAAAAAGCCTAATAGCGCAGATCAGACGATGGAAGGCCACTACCCTCGAGACAGAGTTCATGCTCTCTCAAATGGGAGCCGAATTCGAGGCAGTCCTGCTTTACGAAACAAGTTTGGACCTGCGCACGACCTGATTGGACGCGACTCGCTCGACCTCGCGGGTGACGGACGAACCTCGAGGTGTGGCTGCCCGTTACCCCAACAGCCGAGAGAAGGACCGGCTGAATGGTCTGGACTGTCGCATGTGGCGGGTGCGGGTGGGCATTAGGGTTCAAAGAGAGAGGTTTCTGCCCGCCCTCCCCCATCCGTGCGCAGAGGCAGGCCGGCCAGATCGGGGCAAAGCATGAACGCAGCTCGCATTGATTGCGCGCGAGAATCGCTCCCGCTCATTGGGTGCCAATCAGCGTGCGCTGAGAGCAACCCACCTCGCGATGGTGAAGGCTTGTCTGTGTGTCAGATTCTGTCGATGAAATCCTCCACGATTTGCGTGCCAATCTGGGGGATGGACTGGCCCTGCATTCGGAATAGGGTGTAAGCGGACATCGCCAAGGAAGATGTTCATCATCATTAGTAGTTTTGTACGCAAGGTAATTGGGTTAATTGATCCAACGCTAGCTACATAATTAATCAATGGATAAACCAGGTCTTCATGACCTGGTGAGAAAGATAAATAATCTATGATGGACTAGTAAGAAGAGGCGCATAAAGGAAAGGTATTCCTCTACACAGAATAGTGACAAATGATGAAGCATAAGTGAATCCGGGAATTTTCTGTTATACCGTTTGTCATGCCAAGTGACGCTGTGTATCTGTATAGCTTAGGTATGTTACCCATATGGATAGGCCTTGATGCAAACAATCACTTGGAAAATTGAATTGCGCAACAAAGCTGCAAAGCAAGCAGACTGCATTGAATCTCTTTCCTGTGGCACGATGTTCTGCTCATAACCTGGGCGATGCTCATCCAATCACTAATCCACTGGTTAGATGGCCGAGTGGTTATGGCGCCGTGTCCAGGTGAGCTGATAGTTTACTATCAGTACCACGAACAAATTCGCGGTGGAGCAATCCGCGTGGGTTCGAGTCCCACTCTAATCAGCGTTAAACTTTTTTTTTTTTTCGTATTTTATTGTAGGTAAATAGTTTGTTAGGCAACTTCAATAGTATTGAGTTTCTATTTTTGCTGAGTTATGCTGTCTAGAGGTCAAGCCACAGCACTGTTCACGAGCCGCTCATGTGTCTGCTAAGCCGGTTTCAAAAGGTATCTAGACATTTTCTCTATATCTATCTACGTAAGTAGTGCACCGTACAGCTGTTGAATATTATATATAGTACAAATACTAAACAACTCATATATATACTACCTATTCAATGATCTATATAATTTTCTGCGCATGAGCTTGTACTGTCACTAGTTGGAAGGAGACAATTCGAGTTTATATGTATGTCGAGAATAGGTAGCTGGCAGCTGCCATCAGCTGCCAGCTCGCCCAGCTACTTCGACCTCCTTGTTGCCAAACAACTTGGTAACACCTAACACGAAAGCATTCAATTACCTATATAAACATTGCGAAGAGCTTACGACCTCGCATTAATGCCGAGACCACGATAGTAGGACCACGAACCCCCCCAGGGACGAGCCGGACCTCCGCATACTCGCAATGGCCACGCCCGACACCTCGACGCTGACGAGCTCAGCGCAGATCTTCACGACATACACGCTGCCCCAGATCCGCGCCGTCCACAAGACCCTGCACACCCAGATCGACGAGAAATCCGCCCGCCTGCGCACCCAGGTCGGCAACAGCTACCGCCAGCTCCTCGGCACCGCCGACACCATCGTGCAGATGCGCCAGGACATGCTGTCCGCGCAGGACGTGCTGGCCCACATGGGCGGCCAGTGCGGGCGCGCCGTCGTCGACAATAAGATTTCTGGCCTGGGCCGGTTCCGCGGCAACGAGGACGCCGAGGCCGCGCTGGGCCAGGCCGCGCGCATGAAGCTGCTCCGGGCCTGCGGGCTTGCTATCAGCCGGCTGCTGAGGGCGGGCACGGGCAAGGATGCAGAGGGCGGCAGAGGCGACCGGCTCGTGCTCGCTGCGAAGGTGTTCGTGCTTAGCCGGTTGCTTGTGTCTAGCTTCGGGGATCTGAAGGCCTTGGATGAGGAAGCTAGGACTGCTGTTGAGGTTGCGAAGAAGAGCTTGGATGGGCTAAGGAGAAAGCTGGTGCGCGCAGTCGAGAAAGTGTTGCAGAAAGTTGGAGAGGGGACAGACATCGCCGATATACTCAAAGCCTTGTCCGCGTATAGTCTGTCGTCAAGCTCGGGTACGAGGGATGCCCTAAGGCGGTTTCTAAGCATCAGGGCTGAGGCGATCACGTACGAGTTCGACTATGAGGAACACGAGAAGGAGAGGGGCACAGACAACGTTCTCAGGGGTCTCGAGCTATACACTAAGACACTAGTGGACGTGCAAGCACTGGTCCCAACTAAGCTCCCGGAGGCATTGCTGGAGCTCAAGAAGAAGCCACTTCTGGCCGACGAATCGCTACGATCTCTAGAGGGCCTCAGATTGGATATCTTCGAGAGGTGGTGTAGTGACGATATCCGATATTTCAAGCCTTTCATAAGACATGATGACCTAGACGGTAAACAAGCTAGGGAGATGCTTACGAGCTGGGCGAAGAAGGGCGGCCAGGCTGTTCTCGGCGGTCTGAGAAAAACGCTCGAGCACATCTCCGAATTCAAAGCCATTATAGAACTACGGACAAGCACGTTACAGCAATGGATCAGGAACGGCGGAAAGGCGAGAGGGTTCGATCCATCCATCATGCTCGACGGTTTGCGCAAAGCAATCAACGACCATCTCTTACAACTCATAGAAACTAAGGTTGCAAAGCTCAAGCTCGTTGGGTCCGAAGTAGCCGCCACGCTGGAGGCATGGCAATCGGGAACGACTGATCGCCAGCGTGGTCTATGGGATGACGAAATGATTGGAATGGACTTTTCCATCGGTGCTGCCCAAATCACCCATGAAGTTGTATCTCGAGTCTACGGAAGGAATGATGCTGTCGCGCGAGCTGTCACCGGTTTTGAATCGTGGCATCAGATAATAGGCAATGTTGGTGATCTAGTGGAACAACTCAGACGACAGAGATGGGATAACGATGTAGACGAAATCGAGGACGAGGAGGTTATTGAGACGAGGCAGGACCTCCTCAGCAAAGACGACCCACAACTACTACATACACGACTCGACGAGTCGCTAACAAAAGCATTCGGAGACCTACATGAGCAACTCACGGCGTTATGGCAGAGCCGGAAGGACGGTATAGATAATGGTCAAATTGCCATATATATCCTGCGCATCTTAAGGGATATCCGAAGCCGTCTACCAAAGCTCGAGGGCATACAGTCTTTCGGCTTAGACAATGTCGCTTCACTGCATGAAAAACTTGCGGCTCACGTGTCTGTAGCGCCGCTAGAGGAGTTTATCGGGACAACGCTGACGCAGAAGCGGGTCGCCGGCCGAGCGTTATGGGAGGGTGAGCCAGCTTTGCCTACTCAGCCCTCCCCTAGCACTTTCAAGCTCCTGCGGAACATCACCATGTCGATGGGTGACTCCGGGGTAGATCTTTGGACGCCGGCTGCTGTTAAGGCCCTGAAGCGCGTCTTTGGCCAACGTCTTGTGGATGCTTGGCGACAAGAACTTGCGGCATCTAATCCGGGTCCAGATGCCGCAGAGCCTGCATCTAAGGGTGACGATGGTGAGGAGGCAGCAGAGAACGATGATAGCGCAGGAGAAAATAGCGAGAAAAAGTCGGAGCGTAGCAAAGACGTCTTTGTGCAGTGGTTGTTCGATATCCATCTACTGCAGCACTATCTTACCGCTAGCAATAGTGAGACGGATAATAAAATCGAAGCCCTTACTTCCGAAATATTGGAGAAAACTGGCCTCGACGCCGAAGCAGAGCGCCGCCTTGCAAAAGCGTCAGGGGACTACTGGAAGAGGACGAGTCTGCTGTTCGGCTTGCTCGCGTGATGATACCCGGATAGACCAATTCATTTCAATGTAGTATCTGCATGTCTATAGACAAGTACAAGAAGAGTTGCACAGCTCAAGATAAATATATCCAACACGAACAAATCTATTTTTTCAAAACTGCTACCAATTTGTTTGCCGCTCGCCGCTCGCTCTATTTCAATACACTCCAATCCAGTGAAATCACGCTCTCCCTCCCCCTCCCCATCAAAGCTTATGCCTCTTTTGCCCCGACGCGATCTTCTGAAACTCCTTCTGCGGAATTCCCTGGACAAACCGATCCAGCCCCGCGAAGACCTCGGCCACATTCTGCCTGTCGAGGACGTCGATCTCGGACTTCCTAATCAGCGCCTTGATCCCCGTCAGGGAAGTGCCGTCCAGATGCGCGCCGAGGCGCTCGTCGACCTCGGCCAGGACCTGGCGCATAAACGTAGCGTCGTCGCCCTTGTCGCACTCAAAGACCTTGTTCACGAAGCCGCAGGCGACGAGCTCGTCGAGGGGGATGCGGCGGCTCATGAGGAGGGCCTCGTTGGCCTTGGGGAGGCCGAGGCGGCGCACGAGGGCGTGGGAGGCGCCGCCCTCGGCGACGAGGCCGAGGGAGGAGAAGGGCGTCAGCAGGAAGGCGTGCGGGGCCGCGTAGACGAAGTCGGCGAAGGCGCTCAGGGCCGCGGACAGCCCGATCACGGGGCCGTTGAGGGCCGCGATGAGGACTTTGGGGTGGCTGTAGAAGGCTTGCGTTATGTTTAGGTTGTTGGCTACGAAGGTGCGGAGCCATTCTCTGTACGGGTCTGAGTTGGGGGGCAGGTCCCGGCCTACGGAGACGTCGGCGCCGCTGGGGAAGGGGGTTAGTTGGGTTTGTGTGGGTTGGGGGATGTGAGAGGTAAGGGGTGAGAGAGTGTGTATACAAGTTGATGATGGCTGGTTGTGGGTGACTACTGAATATCGCCCCATTTCATGTCATCTTTTCTTTGATTCTATATATAACCTCCTCTCAAAATGTATACGTCGTCCCATCTCAATTGACCCTTTCTATCTATGTTTGAAGAAATGTAGTGAGACTTACGCAGAGAAATAGCGGCCCTTTCCGGTCAGTATGGTGATGTAGATGTCGTCCCGCAGAGCAACGGCTCGCATAGCCTTGGAAAGGGCATAGTAACCATCCATATCCAAGGCGTTGAGCTTCTTGTCGTTGTCGATGGTGATGGTGGCTATACGCCCCGAGTACGAGACCTTGATGGATTCGGCCATTGTGTGCACGTGTATACCTATGTATACGTGTTTGTGTATGTAACTCCTTTCCTTCTGCCTATACTAGATAGATAAGGCAGTCGTATAAAAGCCGTATGAGTACCTAGTTATATTTAAGAACAAATGACTGAGCCCGCGTGTACACCCAGACAATGTTCACCAAACAAGTTCCAAAGAGTTACTTGAGATAGTAATAGTGAAGTAAATAGATGTAGTACAGAATAATAGGGCGGCTGGGTTGGGATCCACAGAAATACACTACCTAAGTACCTACAACGGCAACAAGCCGAGGCTCTTTTCCGAAGCTTACTTTGTACCTAAGACAAATACAGCTAACCCCACGTTTTCCCCCGCGACCCTCTCCACGTTGCCTGCCTCGGGAGGTCGGGACTACCTTGGTCCTGTCCTAGAAGAATCTAGTGTAGGTACCTACGGTTAGGTAGGTATTATGTACCTACCGCGTATACCCATTACCCTGGGCCTACTCCTGTACAGTAGACTCCACATTTACAGCGGGAGCAAGATGGCAGCAACGGGACGGACCCGTTAGGTTGGGTAGCTTTTATGCAAGATGGCAGGAATTAAAGGTGCAGCAACTGTAGATCTACATAGATGGGCGCCGAATAAACGAACCAATTCCATCACTATGATGATATTATTCTTTAGAATACCAGGAAGACTGACTAGGATTAGGTTGGACTTTGTAGGCTATATCCCGGCGGGGAAGTAGTCGCTATTTGTAACAATTAAGGTATGTGATACATTTTCGCGGTCTCATTTCTCATTTAACTATTTGCATAGCAGGCTGTCATG